TGCACCCACTGTGTCGACAGTGTTCTTACACCTGCTCTTTTCCTAACTTCTGGAGGAATGGTTAGGGCAGAGAGGGCATCGCTTCTGAAACGGGATGGGAGAGGATAGGAGAGGGTGGGAGAGGGTGGGAGACGGTAGAAGAGGGTGGTGGTCTCGAGATAAAACGTCAGCTTTTGTATGTTGTCGATTGAAACCTTGGAACTGGCGGCACAGTGATGAGAAGAAAGGGATTGCAATCAACGTTTGTACGCTTACAACTATCTTCCTTTCTTTTTCTATTTGACATAATTAAATGAAATTATTTACTTTCATCGTTTTAGCTTTCATTGATTACCACGGCCCAAAGCTGATACTAAACTTTAGCTTTAATGTCAGTCGTGTTTATAATTAGCCATACCGCAGCAAAGTCATTTTGCAAATTAAGGAAATGTTCTATTCTTATAGGCCGCTTGATCTGTAATTGTGCACGCGCGCGCCAGAAGACACATACACACACACACACACACACACACACACACACACACACACACACACACACACACACACACACACACACACACTCAACGTCAATGTACAAAAACTAGAATTGCACATTTAATTTTGGCCATTAAAAAACAATATTTATGTATATGATGCACACACTCTACTGCCACGAAGATTTAACCTCTAATCACTGCCAAACGAACGACTTCGTGTAATTTTTCAGCCTGACAGAAGAGTCATGGGCACGGCAGGGAAAGGGTTAAACTAGAAAGGTTTTAAGAGCGTTATATGTTTTTGATCTAGATTCCATTTGAAGTTATTTTTCTGTATGCCTGTTATTGATGCTCCGTACTTGAAAAACCTTTAACCGTCGAACAAATTTATTTGAATACATTTTCAAGTTCTTAATTAACCAGTTGCATTAACGGGAAATCTCCCCAGAAATCGAATGCAAAATACGTAATTAACATGGTAACATTATTGATCCTCAGACAAATAATCAATAGTCAAGAGCTGTACTCGAGAGAACGACTCAGAATAAAGTCTTTCAGGGGATATTTTTGATCAGCGAAAGAAAATGAGAGTGTTGTAAACGAGATCTGGAGCATAAAAAAACCTTCATATTGCACTACGTCACGCAACTCAAGCCTGTCACAGCTTACTTGATTTAAGAGTTTGTTGAGGGTTCGGAACAGAAAGTGGACGAAAAGACTACATTATCGCCTGCCTTTGCTTTTTTCCTTTAATAAAATACAACCGGGAAGTTAGATGGAGAAATTTCCTCGATGTTTCAAAAAGAGAGGGGGAAAACACACATAGAAGGAATTACAAAAAACAGAAGAAATTAAAGGTAATATTAAACAAATGAATACATATTTAAATAACCTTAAGAGTAAATAAACGAATAAGGAACAAGCTAATGACCAACATTGAACAAATACAAAGAATGCAGGAAAAAACAATAAAAATGCGAATTACTTCAGTGGCAATTCTAAGAGTATAAGGCGATTATAAGCGTAAAAATATAGGATTTATTAAAAATGTTTTTAAAAATAATCCCCAAAGCCGCAATCCTTTTCTCTCGTTCCCGCCTTATCACACTTTCTTGCCATGTTCGTTTGGTTTTTGGTTAGTGTTTTACGGCGCTCGCAACTGCATAAGGTTACATTTTCAGTTTGGTAGGAATTTTGAATTTTGCCCGGGTTGTGGCCGAAGCCTACTCTTATAGATTTTAGGACAACTAAGGGATCTTTAACGTGCATACGAGACCTCAGAGATTTTTCGCCCTTCTCCGAAAAGGCTTGGTGTTAGATCTTACCTACCTTAAGATCAGGGGTGTCGCTGACAGACAACAGTAGGTAGGAGCCAAGGAGTAGCAGTAGAAAGGATGGAGAAAAAATCAGGAGCCCAGAGGAGGCGGCAAAGGGGGAGAGTGGGTCGGGGGGCAGACAGGGGAGACGAAAGCAGACTACAGAACATTGTTAGACAGTAGGGCAGTAGGAAAGGAGGTGAAAGAAGACAATTTTAGAGAAGAAAAGTTTCTGTCCCTGTCAGGTTTCGAACCGTGGACCTATTGAAAGAGAGGTGAACACCGTAACCTCTACACCTGGACCCCCCCCCCCCCCCAGCCATGTTCATTCTCGTCAGCTGTTCTCCGTCCTTTATCATTTCTGACCACCAGCTGTTTCAACAATTTTTGGAAGCTCAACGTAGTATCGAGCTCGTAGTTTCTTTCTGTTTACAAAGCTACTGACTGCCACTGGCCAGATCAAACAAGTACACCCCAGGAGGAATGGTACTTTGGCCTCGTCTGGCAGGGCATCTAATGATAAACGCTCTAGTTTCACCGATTCCCCCTCTTTATGACCGCACATCACCCTGGCAGCTTGGTAAACAGAATCGATGCTGCTCTAATCAAACCGTGTAGGGCCGTAGTATGCGCGAGGAATGTTTGCTACTGAACCTGTCTGTAAGGAATTCCAAGGTTGAGGTTTGTCTGTGTGTTTGTTTGTGTAAATATGTGGGTTTGTTTGTGTGTGTGTTTGTGTGTGTGTTTGTGTGTGTGTGTGTGTGTGTGTGTGTGTGTGTGTGTGTGTGTGTGTGTGGTGTGTTTACGTATTTGTATGTGTACATGTGAGTGCGCGCGTGCGTATACGTATGCGTGTGTTTGTGGGTGTGTATGTGAGGAAAAGGGGAAGGAAAGGAAAGGGGTGGGGGGGGGGGGGGTTGTACTTTGCGAAATCTCACTACAGTTGTCAGTTGAGCCAACCCAAAATACACTGCTGACCAATTGTTGGTTTCAGGCCTGCATGTTCGTAACATGGCGCAAGAGGAAAAGAAAACAAGACGACACAATCCCTGGCAAAAAAAAAAAGACAAGAACAACAGCAAATATCGCACACATCCCTGCTAACAGAAAAACAAAGAAAAAGCAAAACAAAAGAAAACTCAGGTCCGAGTTCGAGGCTCCCGCACTCTTGGTCCTGTCCTATATGAGGCAAGTGTCAGTCGGAAACGTTTTCTCCTAAACAACCTTACAATTTTGAAGAGAGTAGAGGTAACATCGCCTCTTAAACAACCTTACAGTATTGAAAGGGGTGTTAAATCAAATAAAAAATACCAGCTACAAAGTTGGTGGCCTCGTCGTTAGGCTCTCAGACTCGCAACCATAATGTCGCGGGTTCGAATCCCATCAGGGACCAGACGTTGTGTCCTTGGGAAAGGCACTTTACACGAATTTTCCTCACTTCACCAAGGTGGGAATGGGTACCCAGACTATAAACAGTCAAATTAAGATCTTGTCAGTTTGTTAGTGTTTGAGCGTTTAATCAGCTGCTTGCACTGTATGCTTCCCGGGAAGCTGAGAAGGTTTCTGAATGTTCTGTGGTCTGCTGGGGTGATAATATGTAGTGAAAAGCGCACAGAGCTTGCCGTAGAGTGGGGTTATGCGATATACACACACTATTTATTATTATTAACATTATTATTATTATTATTATTATTATCATTTTTATTCTTTTAATTAAAAAAACAACTTTAAAAACATTATTCTAATTCTAAAATCTCACATGCCCTCAAGCAAAGTAAACCAGCACAGAACTCACCTCTCCTTCCACCACAGTGCACCTAGCGATGTAGGCGTGCTTGGACTGAGCCAACTCGAGACCGGACGGTGCTTTGATCTGGCCCTCATGCAGCTCGAACGCCTTGGAGAAGACCACGCTCTGGTGAACAGAAGAAGGGGTAAAAATAAATCCTCCTCCTCCTACTACTAATCCTCCTCCTCCTCCTCCTCCTCCTCCTCCTCCT